TTGCCCATGCATCGAATTTAAATATAAGTGGGTGGTATTTGTAGCATTTTGAGTGACTACCACTTGTTATCTGAAATCTTAAACAAAGGACACACAAGTTTCATGATTAAGAATGAGATACGGTAGTAAACTACATCATACAGCTGTTTCGTCCTTCTAGGACTCGTCACTGATGCTACATCATACAGCTGTTTCGTCCTTCTAGGATTCGTCACTGATGCTACATCATACTACTGTTTCGTCCTTCTAGGACTCGTCACATATTCTACATCATACAGCTGTTTCGTCCTTCTAGGACTCGTCACTGATGCTACATTATACAGCTGTTTCGTCTTTGTAGGACTCGTCACTGATGCTACATCATACAGCTGTTTCGTCCTTCTAGGACTCGTCACAGATTCTACATCATACAGCTGTTTCGTCCTTCTAGGACTCGTCACTGATGCTACATCATACAGCTGTTTCGTCCTTCTAGGACTCGTCACAGATTCTACACCAAACAGCTGTTTCGTCCTTCTAGGACTCGTCACTGATGCTACATCATACAGCTGTTTCGTCCTTCTAGGACTCGTCACATATTCTACATCATACAGCTGTTTCGTCCTTCTAGGACTCGTCAGTGATGCTACATCATACAGCTGTTTCGTCCTTCTAGGACTCGTCAGTGATGCTACATCATACAGCTGTTTCGTCCTTCTAGGACTCGTCAGTGATGCTACATCATACAGCTGTTTCGTCTTTCTAAGACTCGTCACTGATGCTACATTATACAGTTGTTTCGTCCTTCTAGTAACAAGATAAGATTTTTATATTGCTTGACATCAACAGCGATAATCATAGCCTCCCGGTGTATGTGAGGTGAGTAGGTCTGGTTCTATATCTTTTAACGTCCCATCAACAGCAAAAGCCATTTAAGGACATCGTCCTAATGCATGTGAGGTGAGCGTACGTGTCGCGCGCAATTGTTTCTGGGATGCGCAATATCTATGATTAAACCTCCTTGTGGAGATTGATGTTAAACTGATGGCGATTGTATAGTGCTTGTAGAAGCAAACCAGTAACATTATCGCATTGCTGAACGTTAAGAAAGCAATAATACCTATCATCGTTAAGACTCGGGTAGTTCTTCGCCAGGGGACAGAACCCAAAATCTTCTTCACATACACGAACGCTGAACTTAACGCCAAATGTACGGTAGTGTGGAGAGAGATTTCAAGAAGAAGACATGTCTTTAAAAATGTGAGAATGTATTAGGATCCCTAATTTAGTTACCTCCTACGATACTCCGACCAAATATAGGTCTGTTTATAGAGATATATATAGCAATCCTGTACCAATGTTAAAAGGAGATATGATTACAATTAAACCATATATAATTCATATCTATCACTAAATAAGGTTTAACGTACAGGTTAAATTTAGGGATACAAACAGCCTTGTTTACGTTTTTGTAGCATACTTAAATATACTAACAAAAAGTTGATGATTAAATCAAAATTATTGATATTTTTTTATCATATACCATACTTTGGTATATTGGTATTCTACGAATCTGAAACATTGACGATCAGCTGTCTCCACATATGAGTTAAGTCCGATAATTAAAGACGCGAAAAATATGCTGACTTTTCAGAAAAGAAGACTTGATAAAACAAAACATGTTGTTTACTTACAGCTGGCCATAGTTTCGTCAGAGCACGGACTTTTTTGTTAGTCAGGAATCCATAACAAAGCGCTGTCGCGGTCAAAGGGACATAACCGAAAATTTTCCGCTGCTTGATATCACAGTAAATAATACCTACTTTCCTACATGAATTCGATATTCCCAGGGATCATGATGACAAAAACTTTTCTATTATTCTTTAATTTTGTTATCCGCGTGTTTCGTTTTATCAAAATGTTTAGGATTTTTTTTCCAGCATTTTTAAAAATTTATATTCGAGAGGACAGCTAGTTTGTAACATCGAATGACATATTTTTACTTTATAACAAGTGTGTGTACTGTAAGAATGGAGGTTCTCGGTGACTTGGTTAAAATGCTTTATTGTATATTACGTACACTGAACAGAGTAGGTAGCATTATTGAAAAAAAAAGAAATAAAAAATGGATAAAAATTTTGTAAATTCAATTGTAAACAACGTGTCACGGAACAGAAATAAAATATTTTTTTGATCAATAACCATCCTCAGTCGAAATATCGCACGTGGAAGACATTTATCGTAAATAAAAGGAAAACAAAAACAAAAAAAAAAAAAAAAAAAAAACAAAAAAAAACAAAAAATAATATGACTTGTTTTTACATTGATGGGGAGATGTTGTCATTCTGTTTCAGCGTGTAGCAGAGTTCGCTGAGTACACTTAATGAAGCCCCGTTTATCACAAAACCTCAAATACAGGTAAAGCACCTGAAGTTTTCTCTTTCACAGTAATATTACAGATAATCAAACAATAATTAAACTTCATTAATTTACTTTGACGTCATGATATGTTGCAATCAAATTAGATGAAAAGTCAATGTATCTTCGATTAATAGACAAAAATGATCGAGAAATGGACATTTTACGAATCGAATCAAACACGTAGGGTAAGAGAAGAAGATTAAAGATACGTGAAGAATTTTTTATTTCAATGGATTCTTAGAGTTAGTATACTTTTTGTTAAAAGCAGTGAAAAACTAAGGTAAAGAGAGAAGAAGAGAGAGGGGGGACAGACAGAGAGACAGTGGGGAGGGAGGGAGATAGGTGAGTGGGATAGAGAGTGAGTGAGAGAGAGAGAGAGAGAGAGAGAGAGAGAGAGAGAGAGAGAGAGAGAGAGAGAGAGAGAGAGAGAGAGAGAGAGAGAGAGAGAGAGAGAGAAGAGAGAGAGAGAGAGAGAGGAGAAGAGATTTAGAACTGGAGAGAGAGAGAGAAAAGAGAGAGAGAGAGTGGGGCAGAGAGAGCTATTTAGAAGAGGGGGAGAGAGATAGAGAGAGTGGAGAGAGAGAGAGAGAGAGAGAGAGAGAGGTGGAGAGAGAGAGAGAGAGAGAGAGAGAGAGAGAGAGAGAGAGAGAGAGAGAGAGAGAGAGAGAGAGAGAGAGAGAGAGAGAGAGAGAGAGAGAGAGAGAGAGAGAGAGAGAGGGGGGGGGAGTGGAAGATGCCGACATGTTCACAGAAGCTATGTTGAACTGATATAAGACAAATCGCCCTTATCTTATGTCCTGTTATGTTTTATTAGCCATTAAAAGATATGCGAAAGGACAATTATACATAAACAGAAATATTCAGTATGGAATGACAAAAAATAAAATAAAATAAAATAAAATACGATAAGAAATTATCTGTGACTCATTTAGGAGGTATCGTTTGACGATTCAAATTTCTTAGTTTCAATAGTAAAGTTTAGTACAAAGGATCTATCGATTACGTAAATCACGAAAGGGGCGCGTTTCTTTATCAAACAGTACTCTAGAATAATATAATTTGTGTAGGAACAGTAGACAATGGTTTAAACATCAGTTACTACCATCCTATTTCTGTGTTATATGTTTGTATTTTTAAGGCGTGAATATAGAATGTTTTACAAATCTTGTCTTTGGTTGTCTGTTTTACGCTATTGTTTAACAAAGCGTGACAGGGTTGTTGCATTAACATAACGAGGAATACAGTTGATTCTGTATCACAATGCAGTTTCATTTAAGACACATTTTGTAAAGAAAAAACATAGACTATCTAAAACAGCCTGTCAAAATCACGTAAATAATGGCAGCAGACCAATAAACATATTATGTACAGAGAGATTTGATTTATTTGGGACATTTTTTAGGAAACAAAATCTCAGTGTATCCTGGAATTAAACAACAAGGTCATTTTTACTTGTTGTGGTTAGCTCAGCTCTTTGATGAATTTTGTTTTATTTGAAAAAAAAAATAATAAAACAAGTTGATCGTGAAATGGACACCGTTTGTTTTTATTTAGAAAAACTTGAAAAGGCCAGTTCCGTTAGTTCATATACATATAAGACTTGATAACTACAAATATGTTTTATTTAGAGAAAATTGAAGAGGTCAGTTCCGTGAACGAACATACACATTTAATAATCAACAATTATAAACACTGTCGAATGAAAACGCAGACAGGGAGTTGCACCTGTCTCATTATTTAATATATATATAGCGAAAGTTTCTCCGTAAATAATGCTGTTGTGTAGCTAGCGTAGGTTTACATAGAATCTATTACATTCACGAAGTTCGTGACTTCTATCGTGACATTGTACATACATCGGAAAATCGTAAAAAAAGATTTGTGTAGACAACAAAGTCAGAGAAGGATTTAATAAAAAAAAAAACAGCATAAATGTAGAAAGATACAACGCCTGCATGTTTTTTTTTTAATCCTGTAATCTGTATCAGTAGACCTGGTTCAGTCAGCGGAAATATGATTACATGTTGATTTCACAGCTGAACTCATCAGAATGGAACGTATTAGTTCTGTCTGTGTTGGAGTTGATTTATTGACGTATTGAGTGGAGACTGAACATCAGAAGTCTGTAACGTTTAACTAGGTGTATAAGGTAAACTATGTTAATTTGTGAGATAAGCACGTTTTATAAAGAAATGTCTGGTGATTTAAATATAGTACATATTTTGTATAATGATTCTGCTTCATTGGTCTAACAGTCTGTAATTAATTTTTATATTTGTCTTCGTCTGTAGATGTCTACATCGTGTTTTTCTTTGCGTTCTGAGATGATCAAACCGACACTCGAATTCCAGTCATTCATTTAATTTGAGAGGCATCATGGGTAATTTTGATGACGTAACGAAACTCCAGAGTAAAACAGTTTTAAAAAGGTGCATATCATGTTGATAAATATATCTTTATATTATATTTTAAATTATTTAAGTTACATGTTGGCTACGATCGAAACGAGTATAGAATTTTAGTGCAGATAAAGGTCGGAAACTTAGTATAATACGAAAACTTGACCAGGCTCGTATGTGTTTTTTTTATGGTCTTAATATTCAGTCACGATCTATAAGGTGACAGATGAATAGGGAAACAACATCGACATCCGATGTATCAACATCGACATCCGATGTATCAACCACGACACCCGATGTATCAACGTTGGCATACGATGTATCAACGTCGACATCCAATGTATCAACATCGACACCCGATGTATCAACCACGACATCCGATGTATCAACCACGACACCCGATGTATCAACGTTGGCATCCGATGTATCAACACCGACACCCGATGTATCAACCACGACACCCGATGTATCAACCACAACATCCGATGTATCAACGTTGGCATCCGATGTATCAACATCGTCATCTGATGTATCAACATCGACACCCGATGTATCAACCACGACACCCGATGTATCAACGTCGACATCCGATGTGTCAACATCGTCATCTGATGTATCAACATCGACATCAGATGTATCAACGTCGACATCCGATGTATCAACCACGACACCCGATGTATCAACGTTGGCATCCGATGTATCAACGTTGGCATCCAATGTATCAAAGTTGGCATCCGATGTATCAACATCGACATCCGATGTATCAACGTTGGCATCCGATGTATCAACATCGACATCCGATGTATCAACGTTGGCATCCGATGTATCAACCACGACATCCGATGTATCAACGTTGGCATCCGATGTATCAACATCGACATCCGATGTATCAACGTTGGCATCCGATGTATCAACCACGACACCCGATGTATCAACGTTGGCATCCGATGTATCAACCACAACACCCGATGTATCAACATCGACACCCAATCAGCTGTGTTTACTTTGTTTTTTTTTTAATCTGCGAATCATCACAGAAAATAAAGAGATGTCTGCAGAATGTTCTACGCAATGAAATAAGAGTAAACGAAAACAAAAAACAAATTATTACACTAACATTTCTGAAAAGACCACAGAGACAATGACCAGGTGTTCCGGAAGGGAATGTGTGACCTCAACTTACAATATCGAAAACCCAAAGACTTGATATATAGTATGTATGGTGATTATATCTATATATACAGGAACAGCGTGTCCTGATAACAGACTGTAGTTACCTGCTACGTAAATGTATGTGTAACATGCATGAAAGGACGTAGACGTATAGAGTCTTGTCACGAGGGTAGTTCATTTACCACCGATTCTATCACTGATATAAAGATATTGTAAAAATATGAATAGTCTTAAACAGTGATGCTGTCCCGCTAATACCTTAAAGAGCATTAATTTGTCGATAGGAAAGTAGAGTGTACATGGATAATTTGTTTAAAAAAAGGAACTGGGACATAAAAATCGTGACCTCTGTTATTTACTTACTTATCAAACACAATATCTGTTAAAATGTCTAAAAAAAAAAATCAAATAACATTTCATTTTTAAATACCGTGGTCTATTACTTATAAGTATTTTAGGAGGTAAATGTTTGGACCTCCGTTCAATTCCTCAATGGTTATATTCATATACACGAAATTCTTCAAAAACAAAACAAAAAAAAAAAAAAACAAAAAAAACAAAAACAAATAAACAAACAACATACTGACATGCTTACATAGAGTCAATTAATTTATGCAAAACATAAGCAACAAAAAACAATTACACCCACTCCTTAGAAAATACAAGATTGATAAGGTGCGGTGTCCCGAACGAGAGAATTTCATTTTCTTCATCGACAACAGCCGCAAAGGAAATCTTTGTAAATCCAAATAAATAATGTTGAACACGAAATATGTTGCTTATATTTATATCTATATATAAATCAGTGTAACAAAAGGCTATTGTCATCAAGTTTTGCAAAAGCATTAAAGTTACATGATCTATAGAATGTCAAATTTTGCTTCCATTTTACGAGAAAATTATGAAATTTTTGCGCGCTTTTCAAATGATTTTGCCAGAAGTTCAGCAAATTACCCAAAAATGATAGATAAAAGAAAAAAAATCCTTATTTCATAAAAACGATATGTAATGGTCTCGCTTCTGTAGTCTCTGTTTACTTGCTTATATCTATCTGAATTTGTGTTTTTTTGACAATCATCTAAATAAAAAAATTCAAATACATTAAATCAATGCTTTGTAATTCGGATAATAAGATGTTAACACTCGTAGATAGAAGTGCATGATGCAGAAATAAAATGCACTTACCTGTCCTTGTAGAAGTCACACTTTCCTGCATCTTCTTATAGTTTTTTACGACTTATGTCAAAAATATTTTCTAAACGTCCCAGATGGAGATAATGTCCAGTTACGTCTCAAACTGTGTTTACCACCCAACAGCAATACACGTTATACTTCCTTAAGCCTATTGAAGTGTTTTAGTCACATTTACGAAATGACAATATCACGACGTAAACGTCTTTCTACAGCTATTGATCTGACTTTGTATAAACATAACACACAGGACATTTAAACTGTAACGCTTACTTAAATAACACATTATTGAATTTACTATTGTAGTTTCTCTTTCGATTGATTTTTGCCCGACATTTTCTATAACTGAGTAATTTCCGATATTTCTGAGAACTTACTTACCCTAATCATAAATGAAAATGAAAAACAAACGAATGAATAAATATCAGCAACGAGACTGAAGAATCAATAAAACGAAAGACAACATCAAGAAAAAACAGTAACAAAATATTAATGAGTAAAACAAATCTCGAACCATTATGGAATAAAAGTATTGAAAGTCTGTTTTGGGGATGTTAAATGATATTATATTAAAACTGTTTTTAAAATTGATATTAAAAATTATATTTTTATTTGGTTAAATCGGGGAATTGGATATGGGTGTAATTTTGTTACCCTAAAAAGTCGTGGAATTTGAAGTCAGTACTTCGTTATTTGATAATTTTTTATGAAAATTATTATTTTTTCTGCGTTTTTTTGTTTGATTTTTGTTGTACTTAAATAATGGTGATACTTGTTTAAAAAAAAACCAAAAACAAAAAACAAAACAAAAAACAGAACAAATATTATTTTTACAATATAATAGTCTAATTTGAGTAGGTTTTTTATTTAACAGGGTTACACTTTTTTAATCAGACATTTGCGTGTGAATTTGTACAAATATGTCAGAATTTTTTCATTTGTAATAATATACTATTATATAACTGGTAGACAAATTCGGCAATGGGATTTATTAATGGGACATATAACATCAAAACACATCAAAACATCGTGAAAAAGGGCAGATGCGTCCGTGGAGAAGACGTATGTTACAAATCAGATGATTTAGTCACAACAAATATTTTTTTTATTATTATTGGTCCTCGTATCTGTTTAGATAATGTTAGTTGTATTAAGATAATCATATATCTTACTTGATGTGATTCTATTATACTGTAAACTATACATTACTGTGAGGTGGTTTAAAATGAGAGACTATTCTAGTTGTTAAATCCGAAGCATTCAATTCTAAAAAAAAACCCATAAAATCATATACAGTCTAACCTGTCATAACAGCCACCTTAGTTAAACGGTCACCTGCTTATAACGGCCGTTTTCAGACGCTCCCAATCGTTTTTGCTCATTAATGATACCTAATTTAACGGTCACCTGTTTAACGCGGCCAGCGGCCACCCTTTTCGTCCCCAAACTCGCGATCGAACCTCGTTTAAACGGCCGTTTTGACCACAAGTCATTTGACAAGCTTTCTTAACTGCGAGTTACGTTTTCTCGCCACGTGAACATTCCTACTTTATATCTAGAAATAGAAAATAAAAATAGATGCTTCATCATTCAGCATTTTCATCCTTGTAGGACTCATCAGTGACGTTACATCATATAGCCATGTCGTCCTTCTATGCTCGTCAGTGATGCTACATCATAAAGCTGTTTCATCCTTCTAGGACTCGTCAGTGATGCTACATCATACACTTTTTCATCTTTCTAGGACTTTTCAGTGATGCTACATCATACAGTTTTTTTCATTCTTCTAGGGCTCGTCAGTAATGCTACATCATACAGCTGTTTCGTCCTTCTAGGACTCGTCAGTGATGCTACATCATACAACTGTTTCGTCCTTCTAGGGCTCGTCAGTAATGCTACATCATACACTTTTTCATCTTTCTAGGACTTTTCAGTGATGCTACATCATACAGTTTTTCAGTTTTTTTTTCATTCTTCTGGGGCTCGTCAGTAATGCTACATCATACAGCTGTTTCGTCCTTCTAGGACTCGTCAGTGATGCTACATCATACAGCTGTTTCGTCCTTCTAGGGCTCGTCAGTAATGCTACATCATACACTTTTTCATCTTTCTAGGACTTTTCAGTGATATATATATATACAGTTTTTCAGTTTTTTTCATTCTTCTAGGGCTCGTCAGTAATGCTACATCATACAGCTGTTTCGTCCTTCAGGACTCGTCAGTGATGCTACATCATACAGCTGTTTCGTCCTTTGTCGTCAGTAATGCTACATCATACACTTTTTCATCTTTATTAGGACTTTTCAGTTTTTGATGCTACATCATACAGTTTTTCAGTTTTTTTCATTCTTCTAGGGCTCGTCAGTAATGTCATCTTACAGCTGTTTCGTCCTAGGACTCGTCAGTGATGCTACATCATACAGCTGTTTCGTCCTTCTAGGGCTCGTAAGTAATGCTACATCATACACTTTTTCATCTTTCTAGGACTTTTCAGTGATGCTACATCATACAGCTGTTTCGTCCTTCTAGGGCTCGTCAGTAATGCTACATCATACACTTTTTCATCTTTCTAGGACTTTTCAGTGATGCTACATCATACAGTTTTTCAGTTTTTTTCATTCTTCTAGGGCTCGTCAGTAATGCTACATCATACAGCTGTTTCGTCCTTCTAGGACTCGTCAGTGATGCTACATCATACAGCTGTTTCGTCCTTCTAGGGCTCGTAAGTAATGCTACATCATACACTTTTTCATCTTTCTAGGACTTTTCAGTGATGCTACATCATACAGTTTTTCAGTTTTTTTCATTCTTCTAGGGCTCGTCAGTAATGCTACATCATACAGCTGTTTCGTCCTTCTAGGGGTCGTCAGTAATGCTACAAAGACAGGGAGGTGCACCAGCTCCATAATTAAATAAATCTCATAATTATATATATATAAGATAGTTTAGTACACGAACACGTGCCACTATTCGAATGAATGTATACGTGACATGCAGGTAAATACCAGGCAAAATATTGATAATATTATTGTTGAAATGATCGAACTGTAAACAGTAAACTTCTCAACATACATGACTGAATATAATCTCTATTATTAGAAAGTAACATTGATTACGTTTTTTTTGTTCTCTTGAAGTATTCACTGTTTTGTTTGGAAACATTGGTCAGGAAAACGCTTGATATTGTCATTCTTAATCATGTTTCATTCATAGTTATTGCAAACATGTGAACGACCCCGTCCAGCTGCATCCACATTGATTGTTCACATGAACCCTAAGTAGTGTACTGATTCACCCCGCAGCATAGTCTATACCGCAGCATATATTTGTCACAACACGGCATTATGAACGATGTTATAAGCCAAGTAACCGACCCTTGTAAACAAACATATAATTCCAATTTGCTGTCAGCTTTGTGAGATATCATTTTGTGTCCATATTGCATTGCATCTTTCAAGTTTTGCTATTTTTTCAGTCATGCATAAAACGTATGGCACCTTTGAAGTTTGCTATTTATTTGCAACGATGTTAATAAATTGTATTTCAGGTTTTGTTATTTTTTGCAATCATTTATATATTGTATGGAAACTTTCAAGTTTTGCTATTTATTTGCAATCATGTATGTATTGCATGACACCTTTCAAGTTTTGCTATTTATTTGCAATCATGTATATATTGCATGACACCTTTCAAGTTTTGCTATTTATTTGCAATCATGTATGTATTGTATGACACCTTTCAAGTTTTGCTATTTTTTGTTTCGAGTCTTATCTTTACATTATTGGCAGTTAAAATAGTATTTGATACAAATGTAGTCAATCTGCAGCTAAAAAGCGTAAAACAGAACAAAGATACATTAACCTTTCATACAAAGGGAGGTCACGCAGTTTTTGAAATGTCATGCTAGAATGAAGATGTCAGGGTGAATTGATGTCGAAGGGGAACGGCACCCTTCATTGTGGCGTGTCTGCTACATATCGATTGCAGAATGCGTCATGATGATCCTGAAATATTTTGTTTCTTTGTGAGATATGTAGTGATTTGCCTGTTGACTTTTTTGTCACACTTTTGTCATAGTCTGTCATACTTTTGTCGTAGTCTGTCATACTTTTGTCATAGTCTGTCATACTTTTGTCATAGTCTGTCATACTTTTGTCGAAGTCTGTCATACTTTCGTCAGTCTGTCACACTTTTGTCATAGTCTGTCATACTTTTGTCATAGTCTGTCGCACTTTTGTCATAGTCTGTCATACTTTTGTCAATCTGTCACAATTTTGTCATAGTCTGTCATACTTTTGTCGTAGTCTGTCATACTTTTGTCATAGTCTGTCATACTTTTGTCGTAGTCTGTCATACTTTTGTCATAGTCTGTCATACTTTTGTCATAGTCTGTCATACTTTTGTCATAGTCTGTCACACTTTTGTCGTAGTCTGTAGTCTGTCATAGTCTGTCGTAGTCTGTCATACTTTTGTCGTAGTCTGTCATACTTTTGTCATAGTCTGTCACACTTTTGTCATAGTCTGTCATACTTTTGTCATAGTCTGTCATACTTTTGTCATAGTCTGTCGCACTTTTGTCATAGTCTTTCGTAGTCTGTCATACTTTTGTCAATCTGTCACACTTTTGTCATAGTCTGTCATATTTTTGTCATAGTCTGTCATACTTTTGTCCTAATAATTCCACATACATGGGACTCAGTTGTAAACTTAAGCCTGGAGTGACCGTCAACGTCACCCTCTGAATGGTTGCGTCAAAAGCAACCTTGTGCAGATCTCTATGTGACAACATACCTTTTGCTTTGGTTGTAACAGGTGTAGTTGAAATAAACTCTGCAGTATTCCTGTTTAGAAAACAGGGCATGTTCTAAGAACCGATATAAATTGTAACTACTTTTACAATTTTATGTATTATCATTATAATTTCAATATAACTTATTATAGCATGCTTAAGTTGAAATGTCGTTTTAAAGACTTTCTGGTAGAATGTTCTCTCACACTCACAATTTTTCTCATCGTGAACTCACGTCGAGAGTATTACTTAGATACGAGCAAATTGGTTGCATTTCAAATGACGTACAATGATTGGTTGCATTTCAAATGACGTACAATGATTGGTTGCATTTCAAATGACGTGCAATGATTGGTTGCATTTCAAATGACGTACAATGATTGGTTGCATTTCAAATGACGTGCAATGATTGGTTGCATTTCAAATGACGTACAATGATTGGTTGCATTTCAAATGACGTACAATGATTGGTTGCATTTCAAATGACGTACTTTGATTGGTGCTATTTTAGTTGATGTACTACGAATGGTTTGCGAGTGTACTGAATAGTCTAAGGAGATTTTGGGGAGAGGTTGAACGACTAGAAACTTTTTTTTGTGGAGGGGATTTCTTACATTTCTTTATACGTCATTTTCTAGTTTAAACGGAAGCCTTTCGTGTTAAGTCTTTACCTTATTTAATTCTCGCTCACATCCTTTTGAAAAGGAAAAGAAGGCAAAAATAAACATGGGTGAATGCAAAGGCTAAGAGAAATAAGACCACAGATTTACAACAATATAGATTTTTTTTTATTTTGATAAAACGTGCACTTGAATTTTATGTTCTCCACTTTCTTAGTATCATATTATCTTCCTTATCTAAATCAATTATAGCTCTCAGTTCATCATTATCCGCTTTCACTTCAACCACTCGATCCGTATTGTGATACACAGAATCCGTTGCTGAAAAAGATACAGAAATTTTAAGATAAAAAAGTTGCGTGGGAGACAGAATGATATGATACTTTGAGAAGATGATGGTGTAAACATCAGTAAAATTAAGTAACCATTATTAACTGATAAGAGGTTGAAATTCATAAGTAACAATTTAACTACCTAACACCCCGACATAAGTATATTTAGAATACACACTAACACCCCGACATATGTATATATAGAATACACACTAACACCCCGACATATGTATATAAAGAATACACACACCCCGACATATGTATATATAATACACACTAACACCCCGACATATGTTTATATAGAATACACAATAACACCCCGACATATGTATATTTAGAATACACACTAACACCCCGACATATGTATATAGAGAATACACACTAACACCCATACCTATGTATATATAGAATACACACTAACACCCAGACATATGTATATATAGAATACACACTAACACCCATACATATGTATATATAGAATACACACTAACACCCCGACATATGTATATATAGTATATATATAATACACACTAACACCCATATCTATGTATATATATAATACACACTAACACCCATACCTATGTATATATAGAATACACACTAACACCCAGACATATGTATATATAGAATACACACTAACACCCATACATATGTATATATAGAATACACACTAACACCCAGACATATGTATATATAGAATACACATTACCACCACGTCATATGAATATATAAAATACACACTAACACCCAGACATATGTATATATAGTATATATAGAATACACACTAACACCCCGACATATGTTTATATAGAATACACACTAACATCCCGACATATGTTTATATAGAATACACACTAACACCCCAACATATGTTTATATAGAATACACACTAACACCCCGACATAAATATATATAGAATACACACTAACACCCCGACATATGTATATATAGAATACACACTAACACCCAAACATATGTATATATAGAATACACACTAACACCCCGACATATGTTTATATAGAATACACACTAACACCCCGACATATGTTTATATAGAATACACACTAACACCCCGACTTATGTTTATATAGAATACACACTAACACCCCGACATATGTTTATATAGAATACACACTAACACCCATACATATGTTTATATAGAATACACACTAACACCCCGACATATGTTTATATAGAATACACACTAACACCCATACATATGTTTATATAGAATACACACTAACACCCCGACATATGTTTATATAGAATACACTCTAACACCCCGACATATGTTTATATAGAATACACACTAACACCCCGACATATGTTTATATAGAATACACACTAACACCCCGACATATGTTTATATAGAATACACACTAACACCCCGACATATGTTTATATAGAATACACACTAACACCCCAACATATGTTTATATAGAATACGCACTAACACCCCGACATATGTTTATATAGAATACACACTAACACCCCGACATATGTTTATATAGAATACACACTAACACCCATACATATGTTTATATAGAATACACACTAACACTCCGACATATGTTTATATAGAATACACACTAACACCCCGACATATGTTTATATAGAATACACACTAACACCCATACCTATGTATATATAGAATACACACTAACACCCAGACATATGTATATATAGAATACACACTAACACCCATACATATGTATATATAGAATACACACTAACACCCCGACATATGTTTATATAGAATACACTCTAACACCCCGACATATGTTTATATAGAATACACACTAACACCCCGACATATGTTTATATAGAATACACACTAACACCCCGACAAATGTATATATAGAATACACACTAACACCCCAATATATGTTTATATAGAATACACACTAACACTCCGACATATGTTTATATAGAATACACACTAACACCCAGACATATGTAAATATAGAATACACACTAACATCCCGACATATGTTTATATAGAATACACACTAACACCCGAACATATGTATATACATAATACACACTAACACCCCGACATATGTATATATAGAATACACACACCCAGACATATGTATATATAAAATACACACTAACACCCCGACATAGGTATATATACAGTACACACACCCGGACATATATATTTATATAATTTAGAATACGCACTGTAATATATATTGCGTGTCTAAAATACATTTTTTCTTGAAAGTGTTTGTCAAATACCTGCCTATTAGAACCTCGCGCATTTAATACGAATCCTAACCAATCCCACCCCCTCCCCACCCCCACCCACATCCCCACCCCGACTTCCATTTGTGTGATGACAGAAAGCAAATGCATTTCAGCTGCTGGATCTCCGGCAATACACCACATATATGGACCTGTGAACTGTTTTACGCTTCGGACATCCTGTGCAATCTGTGCACTGAACACTTCATAGTAAATTGATTCGGGCACACACTGTGGTCCTATGCACTGATTTATTATTTTTTTTAAATAGTGTGTCTATCCATAAGCACATGTAACTGACGCATATTTCCTGTCGACCATTACAGGTTTTTGTTTTCAGGATATGGATGATAGAGACCATGAGTAACTATGATAACAACACTCCCATTGCATTTATGAATAATTAATAAGTTGTGAGCCTTGTATTGAAGAAATTCAGCAAGGATGTCCTTTTTCAGCTCTACTTTTCCCTGACTGTGTGCTCGAAGACTGGTGTCATTTAAGCTAGGCAAGTGACTTTTGCAAAATGGACGAAATTGCTGGGAGAGCAATGATCCAATATTTGCATATGAAAGGTCTAGCACCTTAGGCTATCCATATTGGTATGGAAGCCGTACAAGGAAATGATGCCTCTGCAAGTGCTACAGTGAAAAGATGGTTGGCGGAATTAAAGTGTGGCATATAGAGCCTTGGGGATGACGCCCGTTCTAGAAGACTTATCACTATTGCAGCTCCAGAATAGTCAATAAAGTCCATGATATTCTTATGGCTGACATGCGAGTTAGAGAGATATATACATCCAGTAAAGTTAGGATTTCACAGGAAAGAGTACTTTCCATTCTTATGGAAAATCCTGCAATAAGTAAGCTCTCAGCCCATCGAGTATCAAAAAACATAACTGGTATTACTAAGATCATATCACTCTAAAGAAAAACCTGTTTATCCAATATCTCCTTCCTACTATTCTGAAAACCCCATTCTACGTTTTTCTGTTGAGGTTGACTTTGGAGAGACGATTTCTTTCTCCATGTCATGTAAGATGATATAATCTCTGTTGTGGATGATAATAAAAAAAAACGTTATGGGGATATCCTGCCCAAGTTGTAAACTTTCTGGCTGTTCTGTACCCCGTGAAAACCTCATTCTTTCATCAAACTGCTAAAACTATTGTTAGCATCAAA